TCCCAACCCAGATGGGGAGGTGTTGGGTATGATAATTATTGTGCTCTCCCTCTATGTTCCTCATTAACCTGTAACACTCTCTACCAGTCCAGAGAGTTTTTCCTGTAGTTGTGCTTCCCAGGACTGGAACTTGCTGGGCTTTGTTTAATATTCAGCCCAGCCTTGTGGGCATTTCCACTGCCGGGCTCGCTGCTCCTTCTGTAATCTGGTTTGTTCTTTGGGGCTAATTAGCAGCACTTCCGACTGCCACTGATGTCCATTATGGAAATGTTTTCCTACACTTTCACCTACAGGATGTGTTTTAATTGAATATCTACTAAATAATATTACAGAGAAGGTAAACCAGGCCAAAGTTGTCTAATTTATTTAAGGCTGGTTAACAGAGACAGTGACATTCCAGAGCCTGATGTTTAATTGCCTGTGTTTGCTGGGAATGCAGACAGGGAGGAACAAGATTGCATTCCTGGTGAAGGGAACAGGCGCAGAAATCCCACCCAGCCAGCCAGAACCAGGGGAAAACCCAGCCAAAACCAGGGAAGAACCAGCCCAGCCAAAACCAGGGAAGAGCCAGCCAAACCAAAACCATCCAAAACCAGGAAAAACCAACCAAGCCTCACTCCAAGTAGGAAAACTCCAAGGACTTGCACCTTGTGATGTCCTTGGAATCACCAGGTTGAGCTGAGGAGTGGCTTTAAGGCAATCAGGACAGAGAAATCAGCTTTGGTCATTTATGGGATTTCCATAGCCAGCCTGAAGCCTCCCTGAAACAAAACCAGGAGATTTTGGGTGGTTATTTTGTCTTGTGTGATTTATGGCATTTCCATACCCAGCCTGAAGCCTCTGTAAAGCAAAACCAAGAGATTTTGGATAGTTTTGTCTCTTGTTTACCTGAGAAATACATGCAAAGAAGTGCAATATTTTTGTAGGGTCTGTTTGAAAATACTGCTTTTATCAACACTGTATTTTGGAGTTTTCTCTCTCTGTTTAGTTTCAGTATTGATATTGCATAAAATCTTGCATTTTACTCTCTGAGCCAGGGTTATTATTTATTTCCCCCTGTTGAATATTTGATAAGGTCTCTTGGGTACTGATTTTCCTTCTTTCTAGGATAACATATTATGGAAATTGTTTCACCTTGTGTTCTGTTTGAAGTTCTGGTTTTAGCATGATTCAATTTGGTTTGCATTATATTCCATGGAGTTCCTTGGCAGTTCCAAGTTATTCCAGAGTGTTTGTGTGGGGGCTGACTTTGGCTTTTCCTCCTGCTTTTGCTAAGTGACCTTCATAGGATCTTCTTGGGGTATTTGCATTTAAATGTAGTAGTAATTGGCCAAATTTCCTACTGGTTTTTCCTGAGATGAATTATTTGGATGGTTGGAGTGATCCACTGGGGCCAGGACCACCAGGTTTGGAGTCTTCACACTCCAGGATCAGCTCCAGATCATTTGAAGTTGGTGCTTGGTAAGAACAAAACAACATTGCACACTTTAAAAAAAATATAATGGATGCTTTTCCTATCAGAGTGTGAGATTCCCAAACCATTTGCTAGAAATAAAGTTGTGTGATCACATGGAAATCTAATTCTCTTCTCAGGAGCTCTGCACCCTCCAAAAGCCCCTTTGACCTGAATTTTCCTCTAATGTCCATGTGGGTATAAATAACCCATAGGATTATCCTGCAGGCTATGGCTTCTCACCCAAAATCTAGGGCAAAGACAGTTATTAACTATTAATTAACTGTGTGTTAGTTCTCCAGTTCTTGGGTGGAGCTGCTGTAAATTCACTGGAAAGTACATTGTATGTGAAATAGAATATATTATATTTCACATATATGTTATATATATTATAATACCTAAATGTGGTATTTTGAGGACCGTGCACATTTTTCAGCTCCCTTGATTAATGATTAGTTTGATACAGGGAATATTTTTAGGAACATGAATGTGTTCCAGGTTAAAATCATGATTTCAGCAATTTCTAGGAAATACTTTTAATTTAATTTACTGGCAAAGGAAGTTCACACCACCATAGTTAGTTACTGTGGGTTTAAGTAATCCCAAACCTGGCGAAATGTGGAGAATCCCAGAATGGTTGGGGTTGGAAGGGACCTTAAGACTCCTCCAGTTCCACCTCCTGCCATGGACAGGGATGGAACTTCCTTAATTCAGTTCCCAGCTTCTTGCTACAGGTCCCTGACGACCAGGATTCAGATGGAACTGGAATTTTTTCCCCTGGCATTGCTGAAACGTTTGGATGAGCCTGAGTTATGATATTTCCTGGGTTTAATGGATGACTTTAAATATATGCATGTCAAGTGGTGTTTTACTGCAAATCCTTGGCTACAGTGGGGAAAAATTCCAGAGCCTCTCTGATAGAAAAAAGGAAAACTCAGGAATAAAATCAAACTTGCCTGATGAACCAAAGAAATGAAGGTGCTGCACTGGAGATGGTATGAAAAGCAAATATATTGGGAAGTGTGGGGTATAAAATGGAGGAAAACATAATTACCTGGTAATGATACCAAATTAATGCAACTTGATGGTTTCTTTTATGTTGTGAGCATTGGAATGTTGGATGTGCATAAAGCTGCTCCTGGCTTTTATTTGTGGTGTTTAATGGTTTAAAATTCTGCAGTTACTCAAGGCTGTGTGGGAGACTGAGCTGTGGCCATAGGTCTAATTTTGCCTAAAACAACACATGAAATATAGTATTAATGGGAGCCTTATTTGTATAATTTATGTACAAATAATATAATTTAAATATGTGATTATTTCACGTAATTATACAAATACAACAAATTTTATAATGTATTTTATAGTATGTATTAAAATATGTAATTGTTATATATAATGATATAAATATAAGGGTAATTATGTAATATAATTTATAGTATATATAATGTAATATAGAACAGGATGCAGAATATAATTGTATAAGATCTCTAATATAATCTATTGGCTAACTAAAAGATAAAACCCTGCCATAGCCTGGCTGATTGATGCCCAGCAGCCTCAGGCTGGGAAGAGGTTTTCATTGGAAGTGACAGGTGCCCCAAGGTTTATTTAGGACAAGCTCAGCCTTGTCCTGGTTAGTTTGATAATGTTTTCCTTATGGATGTTCCAGCAGTGCATTTCCTGCGTTAGGGCCTTGTGTTACACCAATATTCCTGTCTGGGCTGCCTCAACTACAAATTGGCTGAACAGCCCGTGACACTTTTTCAATATTATTACATTAAACCAAGTGGATTTTGATTGATAACCTAATATTCAACTAATGCAAAACATCAATCATGGCAAGTATATTAATTATTTAATATTGCAGCCTAATTCAGGAATCGATGTGCTGCAGGAGGGGAAGGGAAACTCGCTGTTCCCAGAAGGTTTGAGACAGGGCATGATTAAAAAACAGCCCCACCAAGCCCTGCTCTGCTCCCGCGTGTTGGTTCGATACAAATCTTTATTCATTTGCCAATAATCTCCTCACATTTTCCACTTCAGGACCTTTTTTATCAGTTTTGAGGCCTGGAATTGAATTAGGGCTGCTTTCAGCACAGGCTGAGGGAGGCGCGCGGATATTGATGGCGGGGATGGGGCTGGCCTGGGAGCTCTCCCAGCTCTCCCAAAGCAGCTCCACTTGTTGGTGGAGCCTCCAAAGGGATCAGGGAACCATGGAATGCTTTGGGGAAGGGAGATCAGTCCCATCCATCCACCCCTGCCATGGCAGGGACACCTCCCGCTGTCCCAGGTGCTCCAGCCCCAATGTCCAGCCTGGCCTTGGGCACTGCCAGGGATCCAGGGGCAGCCACAGCTGCTCTGGGAATCCATCCCAGCCAGGAATTCCCAATTCCCAATCTCCCATCCATCCCTGCCATCTGGCAGTGGGAGCCATTCCCTGTGTCCTGTCCCTCCATCCTTGTCCCCAGTCCCTCTCCAGCTCTCCTGGAGCCCCTTCAGGCTCTGAGCTCTCCCTGGATCCTCCTCCTGTCTCCAAAATTGGGATAAATCCTGTAGGGCTGAGAAAAATAAATTCTCTCAAAGTCAAACAGCTAAAGTACTTTTTTTTCCCCCCCCCCCCTTGTTTCATTAATGACATTTAAATAGGAAAAAAACTGCGTAGCAGATTTTTGGAAAAGCTTTAGGAAATGATAAATAATTAGCAATTTCAGTACTGGTAATTAGTAATACTGTAGTGTTAACTGGTTCCCTGCAGTCCTCACGGGCTGGTTTCTCCTTGTTTGCTGTGGGAATGACCCACCTTCCTATAAGCAGAATTGGAATTGGGTAGAAACCTGGTGTTGATGGGAGCAGGAACCATCTCCTTGTCCAGTGGGTTGGGATTTGGGGAATTTTTAATTTTTCCATTTGATTTAATATTTTTTTTCCATAGCAGGATGTGTTAAGGATAAATTTTCCCTCTGAATTTTTGCTTTTTTACTTGGATACTTTGGTGTATTTTTTTTTTTTTTAGCTGCCTTTATGTAAAATTCTTCCCATCTTCTCTCTGTACATTTGTTCTTTTTGCAGCTTTCAGGAACTGGATGCCCAGCTCCAGCGTGGCTGCCATGAGCCATGGAATTAATGACAATTCCTTCTCTCCATCCCCTTGGAAAGGGGCAGGGAATTTGATTGTGGGAGTGGTGGCAGGGCAGAACCAGGAGGCACTAAATGTGGGTTTGATAAACAGCCCCGTGTCCTGGCCTAGCTGATTCTTTCCAGTGTAAACAGTGGGATAATTAGCTGAAAAATGTTGATTTAAATGTGCATCCTGTGGCATTGCTGCAGTTTGTAGCAATTTCAGGGCAGGTACTATGTGGGGGTTGAATTCTGTCATTGAGCATTAGGATAATTAATGTTTTTCATGTGTTACAGGTAAATATATGTATTAAAATTAAAAATTTGAGACACTGGAGAAATTACCCAGCTTTGCCATTTCAGAGTTAAACAGAAATCATTGCAGACAAGGGTTTAGCAACTATTTAGAACTTTTGTTCTTCTCTTACAGGGACTCTGCAAACATCAAAGCTGGATTAGAACATCTGGTAAGTTTTAATTTTCTCTTGAACATTTGCATCATCTTTGATATCTGCATTCCAAATGAACACTTTTGAATGAGCTTTGAATACCTTGAATTGAGAAAGTCAACCATTTCCCAGAGGGTCAGGCTACTGTTATTATGTGAAGGCACTCACATTTTCATTTATCTCCCCATTTCAAGGGAATTTTAATTTTTTTAAATTACTTTTTTTTGATGTTGAGATGAAATAAACTGGACTACAATCCTTGGATTGATGATTGCCTTAATTATAAACAAAAATTGTTTGGTGTTGGGTTTTTGGCATATCCTGATCTAAAAACAACAAACTTGTGATTAAAAAAAAAAGTAAAAAAAGAAAAAAAAAAGAGCCAGGGACACAATCAAATATTGCATGCATAAATATGGTGTGTTTGAGTCATTTGGAGGCTTTGAAAGAAGTGCACAGCTTTGTGTTTTCTCTTGTCTTTGCTTTATGAATAATGGATCGACTTAAATTCCATTCAGGGCTGCAGTAGGAAATAATAATTGAGGTGCAAAATATTTCTGGTTTAAGTAAACATATTAAACCCACAAGTGATGGCAAGCCAGGCTTAGCATTAAAAACTCATCAGTTGATCAAAACTGGGAAAAATAAAACCTTGTCACAAGTCAGAAGCTGTTTGAGCCTCACAAGTTGGTACCAGCAGTCAGTGGAACATTAAATAGTTGACGTAAAGTGATTATTAAATCCCATTAAATGAAAATATTCACTATTAATGGCACAACCATCCTGAGAAGGGTTTAATTTTTTCATGGAGTATCTAAATAATCCCTGCTGTTCCATAGTGCTGTGAAAAACATCATGTGTCTCCTTGGACAGAATTGCTTTCCTCTTGCTCCTTCCTATTTTGGGAATCACTTGTGAAGGATTTGGAGGAGCTTGGGCACCAATATCTCTTTGGAGTGCTAAAGGGATGGAAAGGATGGAAGTCATGGTGGGGTGGAAAGGATGGAGATCCTGGTGGGGTGGAGGTCCTGGTAGGGTGGAAAGGATGGATATCTTGGTGGGATGGAAAGGAGTTCCTGGTGGAATGGAAAGGATGGAGATCCTGATAGGATGGAAAGGTTGGAGGTCGTGGTGGGATGGAGATCATGGTGGGATGGAAAGGATGGAGATTCTGGTAGGATGGAAATCTTGGTGGGGTGCAAGGGATGGAGGTCCTGATGGGGTGGAGATCCTGGTAGGGTGGAAAGGAAGGAGATCCTGCTGGGATGGAAAGGATGGAGATCATGGTGGGATGGAAAGGATGGAGATCTTGGTAGGATGGAGATTGTGGTGGGGTGGAAAGGATGGAGATCCTGCTGGGATGGAGATCCTGGCACAGCTCTCAGGAGCTCCCCCTTTCTAAAGGTGCCCTGTGAAATGTGTTGGGAATCATCACATGCAGTAAAGAGCAGAGTTCTCGGAGCAGCTGGAAAATCCACCTTGGTTACTGCTTCCAGGGGTGTCTCACCTACGGGTTGAATCCCTTAAATAAATTTTAGGAAGATGTTGTTGCCCTGCTGCTGGCAAGGAGTTGTAATCCAGCAGATTCCTGAGATTTTTCTCATGCATTATAAAGCTGCTCCCCTCCTGACAGAGTGACCGTGGCTGGGGCTTGTTCTAAATTGGGGTTTCTGCCACAGCAGGAGCTGCAGGGCTGATTTATAACAACAAATATTCCCAAAAAGTGGGAAGGAAGAGGCTCTGTGGACGTGGAGTAGCCTGGGGAGGTGGGAAGCAGCAAGAGTTCAGTGGTGCTCAGGGTTTCTCTGGGGCTGGGGCAAAAGGTACTGGAAATATTCCCCGTGGAATGATGGTGCCTGGAGTGCTTTATGGGTTAACTCACAATAATTTGGAATAAAATTGTCTTTGTTAAATTAATTGGCTGCTTTGTATTTAAAATCCCAGAACTGGGCAGGAAGGGATTGGATCCCTTCCCTTTTGGAAGGGATCTTAAAGATCTCATTCCATCCTCTGTCGTGGACAGGGAACATTTCCCTGAAAGATCTCTCAAAAACTCTGGAACTGAGATTTTTTTTTTTTCTGTTTTCCCTTTCATCTTAGAAAATCTGTCCTGGGAATGGGTGCTCAAGGAAACAAACTGTTTCCCAAGGCACCCACAGGTAGGAATATTTGTGCTGGTAACTGTTCCATATCTCAACATTTTATTCATAAATTTTGGACTCCAGTAAATTATAGGGTTATTCCTCCAGAGATTTAAGCCACATGATTCCCACTCTACTGCTTCAATTCCTGCAGCTCCAAATGCTTGGATTTTCCCACCTTAAGAGTCTTTATCTTGATTTAATAATCTGTTATTGGATCCCTTCTGTATGAAAAGGGTGTTTTACAATTTGGGGTTTACAAGAGTCTGGACTGACAGGGCACAGGGAATGACTTCAGACTGGAAGGAGCAGGGTTAGATGGAATACTGGGAAGGAATTCCTCCCTGGAAGGTGGGCAGGCCCTGGCACAGGTGCCCAGAGCAGCTGTGGCTGCCCCTGGATCCCTGGCGGTGCCCAAGGCCAGGTTGGACACTGGGGCTGGGAGCACCTGGGACAGTGGGAGGTGTCCCTGCCATGGCAGGGTGGCACTGGGTGGGCTTTAAGGTTCATGTATTTCTTTGATCTAGTCAACCAAAAAAACCCCAAACCCCAACCAAGAGCCCTTCTCCTTTATTCGATGTTAATATTTGATCAGGCATTTATTTCAATTAAATGTCAGTGTTTGTTTCCTGGCTGGCACTGGGTTTTCCAGGCAGTCTGGTTGCAGTGCTGGCCCCTCCCTGCTCTGAGTTTCTCACCTGTGGTGTCACAGCTCCACGGCCCTTGGGTGGCCACCAGACAGGGATGTCTGGCAGAGTCCTTGGCTTCCTAACGAGCTCTAAACCAAGCAGCCAATTATTTGTGTTCACAAACAATTAATTAACGCTCTTAATATGAGTAATTATGTTTATCTTGCTGTCCTGGCAAAATTCCATGCTGGTCAATTATGCTCTGCAGGCCTGAATTGTCTTTTCTGTCTCTCCTCAATTGTGTCTGCTGTCCCATTCTGAGAGGAAGGGAGTGAAGGTGGGGGTGGAGAGGTTTTCCTCCTATGGCCAAAGTGACATTTGTGTCCAGAGACATCCCAAATTTCCCTTTGGATAGGCTGGAGAGCCACGGAGTGTCCGGCTGGATGCACCAGCTTGGGAGGTGCTTTTTGAGGAGCAGTGCTGGCTCTGGCTGTGTCCCCCAGTGAGGGGACCCCCGGTGTCCCCAGCCCATCAGGTGTGGGGCTGATGGACCCTTTGGCCATGCCAGGGTGGGCATTCCAACCGTTCCTCTGGCTCAGCAGCAGCCTGGCCCTTGGAAATCTTTCCAGCTCCTTCAGGAGCTCTGGATCAGGTTCATACCAGGTAATCACACTGCAGAAGATCAATGGCTTATGAATATCCATGGGAAATCAGCTTGCTTGGCTCTGTGTGCCTGCGGGGATGGAACCCAGGCTGCTCCTGCAGAGGGGCTCCGTGGATGCGAGGATTTGAGAGAGCTCACTGCCCTGAGTGTGTTAAATTCGTGTGCACACACCGCTTGATTTGTTCTGAGGCTTTGCTGCTGTTAGTTGCAGATGTGAATCAAACAGCACTGCGATCAAACCATCAGAGGCAGGGCGTTTTCATGGCAGAATATTCAAAGGCTTGCAGCGGTTTGTTGTTCCAACGGCGACAAATTTTGTGGAAACTTTGTAAGAGAAGCGAGTTTTACCCTGTCACTTCCCATTACCAGCGGGCTCTGAAACCAGAGCCGCTCCACATAAAACGACGCTTTAATGTCTCCGTGTCTTTATTAAAAAGTAAACTTTGATCGCTCTCATTTACCGCCGAGGCTGAGGTGCTTCCCCCTCCCCTGGCTGCGGTGGGGACCCCGTGACCTTCCATCCCCGTGACCTTTGTGCCTTTATTTTGCTTTCCCTTTGTCACCCCGCTCATATTTACCCCATAAATTCGTTTGACTGCCGTTCTCCGCCGTAAATTCGGGAAGGCCGACGGGAGCGTCCCCGATTCCCGCTCTGCAGGCGGAGGAGAGCGGTGATCAGCTGAAGTAAATAAGGCTGTAAAATATAAAGAGTGTGATTTTCCCTGGCATCTGCATAAAACCCCCGGCACGTGCGGGTGTTGTTTCCAATCGCGCCGGCGGTTTGTTCGCAATTCCCGTAATTTGATCGTGGCTGATGAAAAGCTGACAAGATTTCCACAGCGCCCCATTAGATGAAAGCAGCATGAAACCAGAGGTTAATCTGCAAACAGATTTTCCTGCTTATTACTCTAATGATTCCATCAGATTTGATGTAGCAGGCTGCGAGGCGTCTCTCGGCAGCAACAGTGTGCTCGGGTTTGATCTCGGTGCTCATTAAATGATGGAGTAATTTGGGTGACCTCTGCCCAGGTGCACATCTCCTCATAATTGCACGGCATTCTGATGGGGAAATTACTGGCGAGAACCCCGAGTATTCATCCCGCTTTCCGAGTGGAAAAACTAACAAAAGAAATATTGCATTAATTTTCAAATGATGATATTACATTTAGTGCCTGGGCCCCATATATCAAAATCTGAGAACTGCTCAGTTACTCGCTGCTCTTAATCTTAATGGTATCTGTGGATGTCAAGGGCATGGAGGAAATTAAATCGGAAAGTGCAGATAGACCTAAGAAGACATTATCTCTTGATGATTGCAGTTTTGATAGGTATTTCAGTGAATTTCATTTTCGCAGAATGGTGGAAGATGAGTTAGCCACCAGATTTTCTCATTTTTCTTCCCCGTGATTTATGTGAGTTGAGTATAAAACTTTTTATGGGAGTGCAGTTACGGCGGATGAGAGGTAAATTAATGCACTGGGTTTCCATCTCGGCCCCGCGCGCGATTGTCAGAGCTGTACATACGTAATGGGGCCCATCATTATTCAGGGTTGTTTACATTCAAAATATGTAATGAAATCTGTT